TTCTGGGATTTATTTACCTTCTATAATTGAAACTTTGTAGCCTTGAGAGGAGCTCAGAGCCGGCCAGGGCGGGCGGGAAGGAAGCTTGGCTTCCTCCATCGCCAGGGGCAATCCAAGCCTCCTGCTCGCTCCAGCTCCGTGGCCATGGCCTGCTGAAAGCAGGTATCTGGGGTTTATTTATCTTCTACAATTGAAACTTTGTTGCTTTGAGTGGAGCTCAGAGCCGGCCGCAGCAGGCGGGAAGCTTGGCTTCCTCCATCATTGGGGCAAACAAGCCTCCTGCTTGCTCCAGCTCCATGGCTGCCAGCCACCATCGTGGTTGGGTTAATTTGCATATAGTCGCTCTGATTGGCTGGTGGGCGTGGCTCAAGGCATAGCGATTGTACTGTCAATTTGCATATAGTCGCTCTGATTGGCTGGTGGGCGTGGCTTACGGCATAGCAAAGGTACGGACAATTTGCATGTTTGTCTTTTTTAAGTGTAGACTAGAGGCCCGGTGCACGAATTCATGCACCAGTGGGGTCGCTCGGCCTGGCCTGCGGGATTGGGCTGAAACCAGCTCTCCGACATCCCCCAAGGAGTCCCGGATTTTGAGAGAGTGCAAACCATGCCAAGGGACCCACCAGTGCACAATCAGGACCAGGGAGAGATGTGGGAGGTTGGCCAGCTGGGGAGGGACCACGGGAGTGCTCCAGGGCATGTCCAACCCATCTTGCTCAGTCCCAATCGGCCGGACCCCAGCAGCAAGCTAACCTACCAGTCGGAGCATCTGCCCCCTGGTGGTCAGTGCACATCATAGAGACTGGTTGGGCAGCCTTAGCATATCATTAGCATATTACGCTTTGATTGGTTGTTCGGTTTTTCTGCCATTTGGTCTATTTGCATATTACCCTTTTATTATATAGGATGCCATGGAGATGTTTTTAAGAATAAGTGTAAAAGCCAAACTGGTGACAAAACCTCCATCATTTCATGCTTCTGATCATACTCCAAGGAAGGGAATGTTCCCCACTTAACCTCCCCAGGAGAATATATACCCTCCACCCTCAA